AACATATCATTGATATGCAGAAGAAACAGCGTTGGTGATAGCACACAGCCTTGTGGAACACCAGCGTTAATAGGCTTGTAGTCAGAACATGCACCGTCTACAACGACCTTGATGCTCCGATCTGCAAGGAAGCTGGTGATCCAATTGCACAATTTCTCGGGAAGCCCATAGGAAGGGAGCTTCGAAAGAAGCGCTTTGTGCCAAACCCGATCGAAGGCCTTCGCAATGTCCAGACTAACGGCCAACGCCTCCCCCTTGGACTCTACTGCCTCAGCCCATCTATGGGTCAGGTAGACTAGAAGATCACCAGCTGATCGACCCCGACGAAAACCGTATTGGCGGTCACTAATCAGCTGGTGATCCTCAAGGTACCGGATGAGCTGGCAGTTAATAATGGATTCCATTATTTTGGAGAACAAGGAGGTGATCGCGATAGGCCTATAGTTGGACGGGTCTGAGCGGTCGCCTTTTTTAGGGATCGGGTGGACAAAAGCTGTCTTCCATGAGTTCGGGACAACGCCTTGGGAGTAGGAGTACCGGAAAAGACGCGTTAGAACCGGTGCCAACTCCGGAGCACACGTCCTCAGCACAATTGGGGGGATTCCGTCAGGCCCACTCGACTTGTGGATGTCAAGGGAGAGGAGTGCTCTGCGAACCGAGCGCTGTGAGAATAGCACATCCGGCATAGAGCACTCACACCGCGGGATGTTCGGCGGTGTGTTCCCCCCGTCATCAACAGTCGAGTTGGACGCAAAAAGGGAGCCTAAAAGGTCGGCCTTCTCTTTTGCGTCGTGGGCCAGTGAGTCGTCCTCCCTGTGCAGAGATGGTAGTGATGGCTTACAGAAATTCCCTTGGACAGCCTTGGCGAGAGACCAGAATGCACGGGTTCCCGAAGGAAGGCGAACTAGTTTCTCGCCAATTCTGCCTATGTGCTCTGACTTTGCCTTGGCAATAACTCTTTTGAAGGACCTGGAGGCGAAGTTATACTTCTTTTTAAGTGTGCTGGTGTTTACATCCCGAGTCACCGAAGCCGCAGCCCAGGCTTGATAACACTCCTGCTTTCTGCGCAATGCAGTCTTACAGGAGCGACCAAACCAAGGCTGAGATCTGCCTCCGATGGGTACCACAGATGATGGAATAAATAGTTCCATTCCCTGTAGCACCACATCAGTGACAGATTCAGCAACAGCGCTGGGATCATCCGGCGAGAAGCAAACCCGCCCCCATGGGTAGGATGCAAAGAAAGACCGCATTCCGTCCCAATCCGCCGACCTATAATGCCAAACACGGCGGCAACCTGCAGAACGCAACCGCGAAGGGAGCGTGAGTGGCACCATACTCCGGATCAGACAATGGTCCGAAGAGCCGAGAGGGGCATCGACGGAAACCTGATATCCGTCCGGATGAGAGGTCAGCAGAAGGTCCAACAGGGAAGGTGTATGATCCTCCACATCTGGAATCCGCGTAGGCGAAGTGACCAGTTGTGTCAGACCATATGCCAAAGCAAAGTCATAAACAGATCTCCCCGCATGATCGGTTAAACGTGAACCGAGCCATTCGGCATGGTGGGCGTTAAAATCGCCAAGGATCACGATCTCTGCGGATGGGACCTGTTGTAGCAAGGAATCTGTAGCCATTTGGACGTGGTCGATGAGTCGGTCTGTTTCGGCATTACCGCTATGGGACCTATAGAGGCACCCGTAGACGCGCGGATGGTCGTCGCTGTCTACGCGTAGCCAAAGGATGGACAGGTCCGAACCTTCAAGACTGCCGAGGCGTCGAGAACAGATGTCCTCTCTGACATACACGCAAACTCCAGCCCGAGGCACAAAGGAGTGCTCCAATTTGTACCCCGGGCAGGAGAGATACGAAATATCAGCCGGAGAGGAAACCTGCGTCTCGGTCAGAAAGAGCAAGGCCGGCTTCGCCGTCTCGAGATGGTAGTGGACGGCGTTTAGGTTAGAGTGAAGTCCCCTGATGTTGCAGAAATTCACGGATAGCGTGGCAGGGGTCGCCTTGGTATTGTTGCTCAGTTTGCCCCAAGCAGTTTTGTTTTTGAGCGGAATTTTGCCCCCCCCAGAAGACGCGGGGCAGCCTGAGCACCCACGCTCAGGATTGGAATAACATGGTCGTGGATGCTCAGCGAGGGATTCTCCAGGGGTACTGGTACCCTCCTGGGGTAGTCTACTTTGTAATTCCGCTACCATGTTGATGGGGGGGGGGGGAATTGGGCCTCCGGCCACCTGCACTCACCAGACGAAACGTAGAAGCAGAGCCTCTACTTCACGCCGGTATTCTGTGAGGTCGTGGTACCAACCCGGCTCGAGCCTGCCCATACGTGCAACAGCAAAAAACTGCTGCGGGGCTCTACCACCGTTAAAAAGTTTTATTAAAATAAAATTATTAAGATGTATCGTCGACGACAGAGTCCTTTCCGATCGGCTCAATTCATTGGCACTGCGAAGAGATGTAGCATCCCTTTGCATTTTCTTTCGCATTTACCACGGGGAGTGCTCTGAGGAATTGTTCGGATTAATCCCAGCCGCCAAATTTCACGAACGCACATCGCGGCAGAACTCCCGATACCATCTATCCACACCATCTGGATGATTGGCGGTCCACCACTGTGCGATTTAGAAGATGTTTTCTTCCTCGCACAACTTCCTTGTGGAATCGATTACCATCAGCGATTTTTCCAGACCGATACGACTTAGGGACCTTCAAGAAAAGAGCGTACTCCTTTTTAAAAGGCCGGCAACGCATCTGCAATTCCCTCCCTGGTGTTGCAGCTGTTCATGAGCGGCGGTAGTCACTTATCATCAGGTGAGCCGCATGCTCGTTTGCCCCCCTCTCCTATAAAAATAAATGTAAATATGGCAGATTTACAATCGAGAAAAACAAAACTCGAATGCGATCTCAAACCAATAACAATATCTCGCAAGTAGGTCGGGCGTACAGGCTAGCTTATACCGAATCACTATAATAATGTCTGAAAAAAATTCGTTGGACGTAATGTAGTGTTACGTCTATCGCACGTGCTACCGCGCGCTTCCTACACAGTGAAGGGCTACTAATAAATGTTCATATCATGAACTCTTCAAGTGTAGTGATACGACATAAACTAGTTTGGACGCCCGAATAGCTTGTAAGGTATTAGTATTGTAAATCTGCCCTTTTTTAATTGTAATATTTTTTTTTATTTAATAAATTGACTCTACTATCGAGATAGTATAATTTGGCTGCGGGACAACAACCACTAAAATTTCAGCATGTATATACGAATTGATCAAGCTTAGAAATCAGTGTACATACTACTACTATATTGATAACCTTTCTTTTTGGGAATCGGTTAAAATAGGCTATGTTTGGGTCTAACGTAACATCTGGTTAATGTTGGGGTGTAAAGTGACCTCTGGTTAGTAAAGGCGTTCTTATTAATAATCTCATGATTTAGTGTATCTAATATAATAATAATGATGAAAACTGGCTTTTTGTATTTATTTTTCTCTGGAATATAATTAAGGCTGAGTACTCGGTACTCGGCCGTTAATACTCGGTGTTCGGCCGAACCCTAAAAAACGGCCGAATCCGCCGAGTACCGAATCCAAACCCAGTACTCGTCCCATGTCTAATCTCCGTATCAAGTGATAATAATCCTTTATAGTACACTGCTTCGCAATATGTTGATGCGTCACATTGCGTAGTTTTTGGATTTTGACGGCAATTTTATCCAGCAGCAGAGTTTTACCGTTTCCACTAATAGTTCACGCTCAGATATTTAATACACAAAATCGCACCACTTTTACAAATAGACAATCCACTTCAAATCATTATTTAAACAATAATACAGGAGCAGCAATCGGCCGCGCCAAAACTGCGATTCCCGCCAAAAGTCCGACGATGAGATAACATCCGTTCCAGCTGAACATAACCCTGTTCTATAGATAGCCTCATAAGGGGGGATATTTGCCATAATTGCCACGTTTGGCAACCACAACATTTTATTAGGAAGACACTGCTGCCCGTCTCCTGATTTGTTTCCCTCTGTCGCCTCTTACGACACCCACGGGCCGACACTACAATATTTACCAAGGAAATAAAAAAATAAATGAATCAGTTGACAAAATATATTTCTCGCTCTCCAAACAATTGATTTACATATCCGTTAAATGATTTTCTTAATAAACTGTTTCTGGTTAAGTATAATATTTACAGATTTAATAATAAATATATTATAGGTAATCGGATTTGTGCGCAGCCATTTTAATTTAGTGGTATTTTTATACAATCTGGCTTATTACAAAAAGTAGTTTAAATTAATGAATATTAGTCTCGGGTTTAGTCCGTATTAATTAGTACTTTATATGAGATACATTCATAAACAATCAAGACAGAAAATTATAAAAATGATAGAAATGTATTTAATTACTTATTTTTAGCCCCTCCCAACCATTTTTGTTACAATAATTAGAACATTTAACAAAAAGTAACAACAGACTTCAAATTGATAAAAAAGAAGTTATGTATTTGCTATCATTAGGGGTGGAATTTTTTCTCCAAATTTATATAGGACCACCCTTCAAGTCTAAATAATTAATAAAAAAAAATCGGTTCACAATCTGCGAAGATATCGCGTAAGATATATACAAAAAAAAACACTCGAAATGAGAACCTCCACCTTTTAAAGTCGGTTAAAATAAAATAAACAGACATCTGCAATTAAAATTTTTATTATATGTATGGATTAATATAGAAGTCCTCATTTCAATTTTACAAAAAAAAATCTAGACTATCACTTGCCATCAAAAATGGTTTTTAAAGAAAAGGATTTCTTTTATGCCAAAATAATCACACAAAATAAATAACGTTGTAATAAATTATTTTAGGTGATATATTTTTAAATGTATATCTTTTCACCATACTTTAAATAGTTTCTTATATAATTTTTTAAATAGCTGCGCACAGAAACGTGTATATTTTCTTTTTCCTCGTCACTCAAATCAGTCTCTGGTGCGAAGGCCCCATATGGAAGTTCTCCTGGCACCAACGGTGGGTCTCGCTATAGCACTGTAAAATAAAAAATTGCCGGTTGAAGTCACAAAGTGAATAATGATTACATGTGTTTGAGATTCTTTTTCTTTTGTCTTCGTCTATGAGCTATGGGGGAGGCCTATGTTCAGCAAGAAGATTATATGTGGTAGAGCCGTGATGCAGCTGTATTATAGTAGTAGCACGCTCTCACAGAATACCAGTGTAAAATATCATTGAATGCTGCTATTTTTTAACTTTTAACAACAGAGACCCTTTTTATCTTTTGTATCTTAATTAAAAACAAAAACAAGGAATGTGATGAAGCATGAACTTGTACCACCTGCATCCATCGACTTCTTACATTTCTAACCAGGCCGTCACTCCATCCTTTGTTTACCAGTACTAACACTTCTTTACCACCATTTGTTGATTCTTCGATCTATATGGCTGACTCATTGTCTCTTCACCTTACTGATGTGTTGGCCTATGTCTGTTACTTTAATTCTAATGTCGATATCCACACTTCTAAATCTCCAAGCAGAGCCCTCTCCATAGCCCGCTGAACGACTTTGAGCTTCTTTATACAGCCAGCAGTGAAAGACCACATCTCAAATCTATATATCATCACGGGCAACATGCACTAGTTGAACTATCTTGTTTTTCAACTAGTGCATGAGAAACATTGAGAACCATAACCATTTAAACCCTATCAAAAGTCCACTACTGAACATGGGCTTCACCGCAAGATTGTCTCATAGGGGGGCATTTTGTCATAGTAATTTAATAATTTCACCTCTCAGTGGGTCATGTGCTCCTGGTAGATTATCTTCTATACATCCGTCCATTGCAGCCTAATAAAGTTCACTGCTGAACTGCATAGGCCTCCCCCATAGATTGTCTCATAGGGAGGATGTTTGCCATAGTTGTCATAATTGGCAGGCGGGTTGGCAAACCGCACTTTTTTTTTTAACTTTTACTTATGATTAGGAAGATGCTGCAGCCCAACTCTTGATTTATTTCCCTTTGTCGCCTCTTCCGACATAAATGTGTTTGTGTTATAAGTACCGTATATACTGTCATATGCATTTAGTAAAACACTGTTATTTTGACATTACAAACAGACACTTTAATTTATTTGTATATTTTTTTTTTTTAATAAGGGTGACAAACGAGCGCACAGTCCACCTGATGATAAGTGGTTGCTGTGGCCCATAGACATCTACATCTATCATCGTTTGCAAACTAAAATGCAGATGCGTTGTCACCTGTGAGGACTAAGATGGAATGCCGCTTTTCCAGTAAAAAGAAATCTCCGGTTCTCTACACTCACCATACAAAACACAGCAACATTAAGCTGCTATTTCACGCTGGTATTCTGTGAGAGCGTGGTCCTTCCCCGGTCGACCCGACTCATTCGTGCTACAACCGTAATATAGCTGCAGTGTGGCTCTACCAATATAATAAATATATTTAGTTCTTAAACACCTAATTTTCTTAACGATTAGGAATGAATCCCTTTGTCTACTCATCACTAAAGAAACTTACCATGGGTGTTGTAAAAGACAACACAGGGAAGTCAAACAGATGGGCAAGCAGCATCTTGCTGCTCCCAATCATCTCTTTTAGAAGGTAAAAGAAAACTATAGTATCCCAGGACACCCATGAGACGTAATTTGATGGGTTCTGTCCCACCACCATACCGCAATAATAACACTCACCTAAACATAAACTGGTTGATCTGTATCGCGGGTAAAGCCGCACGTAACGCGTTGAGAGAGCCCGACTGGAGCATCCCCCACACTTCAAGGTATTGGAGGGACGGCATACTGCTTAGTTTCCTGTAAGGTGATTTTACAAACTCAATGTAATTACTCACTCTAAACTTTTTTTAACAAGTAAAAGCTGATCTCAAACAATAATTGCACATTGTGGACTTGGTGCTAAGACATATTAAAGAATTAAAGGTCACCTTTAGGATGTAAAGTTATTATATTCTTTTTAATTGTTTGATGTCAGCTTCTTCTTATGTCTACCCTAGAAGCAGCGTTTTTATTATAAAATAAAGGTGACAAACGAGCACACAGTCCACCTGATGGTAAGTGGATGATGTGGCCCATGGACATCTACATCTATCCTTAATAAAAATTAAAATTCAGATGCGTTGTCACCCCTGAGGATTAAAAAGGCATGTCTCGTTTCCATTAAGAAGGGTCTCCGGTTCTTTAACAGTCACCACCCACTCGTGCTACAACCATAATATAGCCGCAGTGTGGCTCTACCATGCGCTACACGTTCGTACACGTCTAACTGACCATCGGGTGGATTGTAAGTTTGTTTGTCACTTTATTTTTATAAAAATAAATAGATTGAAACAAAAGACTGACGTGAGCACATGTGGAGGCAGCAAGTAGCAGCGACTGAGTGCGAGATGCTCCAGGCGCGCCAGGTTGAGGATGGCCAGCACCGAGGGTGCGCCCAGCCGGGAGCAGTCCGACACGTCCAGCTCCAGCAGGCGGGGACACCGCTCCACCAGCTTCTGTACCACTGTTGACAAGTTTCATTTTTATCTCTTGTTACAAAATGAGGGTAGAAAATATAAAAATTTGTTTTTATTCTAAAACAGTTTTTACCCGCGGCTCAGCTTACGTTTATTTAAATAACCGGCCAAGTGCGAGTCGGACGCGCGCATGAATGGTTCCGTACCGTTAAGCACATTTCTAGTAGGTAGTAATAATTTTATATTAATTTTATTTTTATTATTTGTTATAGCAGCAACAGAAAATTTCAATTATCTTCCTATTATACAGACCACTGACAGACAGACGGATGGACGGACAGTGGAAGCTTAGTAATAGGATCCCGTTAATTACCCTTCGGGTACAGAACCCTAAAAACGACAAATTTTATCACTGAAATTACTCGTATTTGTACTAAATTTTAATAAATGTTACATAACACCAATGCGATATAAAATAAAATTGAATAATCTTTATTCAATATAGATTTTTCAATACTTATTAAAAGTTTTTTTTTTTAATTTATATCCTTTCCACTGGTTACCAGCTGGATTGAACCAGCAAGATATCCAAGGGGATTATAATTTTAGATATATGTACATAATTTTACAATTATTTATATGAATCATATTATAGAACCAGGATGATAGCGACCACCCAAGGGTTATTTTCACTTATGTATTCCATAAACATTTTGTACTATGTTACTAAAATATTTTTTTAAACAAACTACAACTGACAAACTTTGAACATGTTCTTTTGAAATTTATACATGTATTACTAATTATGTAGTCTCGTAACAAGCATTACAAGCTTGTTTTTGTACCTAGTATTTAAAATCTCTGTTCACGTCAAAGCTATTCATGTTTTTAAATATAATTAAAGTTAAAAAAAAAAGTTAATAAATATATTGCGATGATAAAGTTAATATGTTATTTCTTAGAACAACACGTGGTAGAGCCATGCTGCAGCTATATTAGTAGTATAGTTGTAGCACGAATGGGTCGGCTCGACCGGGGAAGGACCACTTTCTCACAGAATACCAGCGTAAAATAGCAGCTTAATGCTGCTGTGTTTCGTATGGTGAGTGTAGAGAACCGGAGACCCTTTTTAATGGAAAAGAGGCATTCCATCTTAGTCCTCACAGGTGACAACGCATCTGCATTTTGATTCACAAACGACGATAAAGGTAGATGTCTATGGGCCACAGTAACCACTTACCATCAGGTGGACTGTGTGCTCGTTTGTCACCCTATCCTATAAAAAAAAAATATTTTTCATCTCATCATCAACATATTGTATTGTATGTCCAGCCATGTGCGCAGTCATCTAGAATCTCTACATGCATAAACAATGTAGCTTCCCGTCGTCTGTACGCTTAGATCGTATAAATTACGCAACGGATTTTGATACGGTTTTCATCAATAGATAGAATGATTCAAAGGTAGGTTTATACGTATAACACATGCATATTATATACTATATATTATATAATTCTGCCGTCCGTGTGTATGTGACTAAACTCATCCTAAACAACTGGACCGATTTTGATGAAATTTTGTGTGTGATTAAGTTGATTAGAGAATGGTTTAGATTCACACTTGGACCCGGTAGGCGAATCGCAAGTCTATGTATCATCATCTATCTAGCCATCTAGAAGTGCGCAGGACAGGATTATAATGCACGTGTGCGCACTCTCTATTGCGTCACTCTCATAGTCCAATCGGGAAAAAAAGAGATCGGGCGCAAGACCAACGGCTTTACGTGCTTTATGAGGCACGGACGAAACACCGTCAACTTGCTGACTCCTGCCTGCTACTGAGAATTATTTGACAGACAAACCCAATAGCCGAGTTTTGCCTGACACCGGATTCAATCACCATGAACACCAATTGCATTTACGATCACTAGACCAATAAGGCAGTTAACAATGGTTATCAGTGATTGTTAAATAATTACTATTATGAATCATTAAAATAATAATTTTATAATTATCGTTTAGTTTATTATTATTATTCTTTTAATTACAAATATAAAATAGATTATAATTAAGTCATTGTATTGTCACAATAATTATCTTTATATATAAAAATTACGTGTCACATTGTTTGTCCACGATGAACTCCTAAACTACTGAACTGATTTCAACGAAATTTTGCACTGTGAGTAACTTGGTCCAACTTGAGATATGTTTTTATCCCGATAAATGACCCTTAACATTTTTTATTAGGAATTAAAGGTTTTTTTTTTATTGGAGAAAGGGTCATCTCAGGAGAAGGCAGAACAATGTCTGCCTGGTTAGCTAGTGATAGATAATTTTCTCAGTTTTTAATTTACAATTTCAAAGATTTGTAAAGAATATTATATAAGTAATTTCATTTCCTAAACAATTGTAATTAATTGACTTATCAGTAATATTTATAACAGTGGTTTACTTATTTTCATATTATAATAGTATTTGGATTATATAATTCTTACACATTCGAACTGTTGCTAGGTTCAGTTTTTATGGGTAGTAGGGATAGCTACCACCATTGTGTGATATTATTTAAACGATTGCAATAATGATTGAGGTGCTATTCGTGCTGTGAAAGTAGCAAAGGAAACAATTAACAATCAGGCGTATTATTATTCCTTTCTGCGACTCCTGTAATACAATATAATGACATGGTATGCACCTACTTTCGTCAGTCATTATCCTCGCGCCGCCAACATTGAGCCGCTGCAACTTCTGCGGCAGCGTGGTCACCATTAGCTGTAAAGCGGCCTCGTTCAGGTTACACCACGATATGTTGAGAGACTGTAAGCTGGAACAAAGTTAAATTATTGCAATTTAATCGGCTGAAATTTGAACCCAGTTAGTGTGTTGAGATATGGTGACGTAGTAAGACAAACGCTCACTAGATGTCGCTAGTTGAGACTGACGTGAAATCATTGCAAAGTTTGTAAAACAAAACATGTATTATTTCAGGATGTGTATTCTCATATTTAATAAAATACCCCAAAATATAAAAGATTTACCCCTTAATAGATTTAAAGGCGCCTTTTACAGGTGGCTAAATGAACATTGTTTTTATAATGTGAATCACTACCTAAATTTGGCATGATGTGACACAACAGTACAGTGATTCGTTGCGGCACCGATTTTCGACAATTTTTAGCTGTGGCGGCGAACAAATATTTCATCATCATCCACAGACTTTGATGACACGCCTATTGTGCCATCAGCCATGTGTAAAAGTAATTATCTTTTTTATGCTTTTTTCACTTGTTTAGACTTACTTAAGTTTAGTTGACATCAAACATCAATTACAAACGGAAGGATACTTGTTTTAGTGGGTAACTACGTATTTTTCTACGTGTTTTCTTTGAAATTGAGAGTAAGTGACTTGTTTCATGCAGAGATTACAAACCTTTTGTACTATTTATCGTTTTATAAAAAATCATTTATATAAGTAGGTACAGCTATATCACCCTGGAAAACCTTGGTTTTTATTAAATTAAATTTTCACCTAATAATAAAATTTGTAAATATCAAACAATCAAGAACCTTAATTTAGAAAAAAATAAGGTTTATGATTCATTAGTATTTATAAATGTTAAATATTATTTAATGTTATACAAATGTAAAAGTAAAGTCGATTTGAAAACGTCTAATTAGTAAGAATAGCAAAACAAGTGTTTTCAAAAGGAAACAAACGCCGGCGCTATTCAGCGGCGGATTGACAAAAGACTATTTATTAGCGACCTTTTTTTTTATGCATGAACTGTTTCAAACTGTTTCAAGCAAAAATAAACCTTATACCGTATCACAAGAGCACATGGTACTTCGTAGGTCTATTCGGCCATATGATAATAATAAGACGGCAGTTCAACTATTTTAAGCAAAATTAAACAATAAGCCAAACGCATTGTTTTTTTAACAGGAGACTTGTTTTCCAGACATTTATTTACAACTTGAGTTTGTGAGCGATCGCAATGAGTGCTATTATTTGTTACTTATTAGACTATTTTTCCACAACATGATTGAAAACCCACAAAGTAGAAAGAGTACCATGTACAAGTTAAGAAAAGGTTGTCAACCCCTAAAAATTTCAAATTTTCAAAATATCCAGAAACGAAGCCGCAGGCATGAATTACTTGCAAAATAATATTTTGTTTTGGATAAATTTTCCAAAAACGCAATTTGAGCGAGTTATAACGATTTAAAAAAAGATACGACTCGTGTGTCATACGCCACACGCAAAGGTAATCGACGGCACGCCTGGCGTGCCATCGATTACTTTTGCCTTAATGAACCGGTTAACCTCTCATTTGTAAATGTAATTGTAATCATAATTGATTCAAGCAATCATAATAATCATACAATTTTTTTAGATACACGTGTCTGTCTATGTATATATGTTTTTTTGTGTTTTTATCCAACAAAAGTTTGCTAAATATAGGAAGGAACTATCTCCTATTACTCTGGTTAACCTTTTACAGGAGATAGGGCCACTTTGATATGTATAAATTGTGTTTTGTTTGTAATATCAAAACAACTGCTTTTTACTAAATGCATATGAAAGTATATATAACAAAAACTCAATTTTTTTTTAAATTTTTGTCTGTCTGTCTGTTTGTTCTGGCTAATCTCCAAAACGGCTGGACCGATTTCGACGGGACTTTCGCTGGCAGATAGCTGATGTTGTAAAGACTAACTTAGGCTACTTATATTTTAGAAAAAGAATTAGAGTTCCGCGCAACATAAATAAAACCCTAAATTACACGTGGGCGAAGTCGCGGGGAACAGCTAGTAAGTTATAAGAAATTGTAAATGCCTCCCTTTATTCCTAAGACCACTACATAGCTTAATAGGATTTGTAAATGATCATCTTACAATGGTTTCAAAATCAGCATGGCTTATTATTTTTTAACATACTTAATTAGTAAACTCACCTGACGCATCCTTTCAATATCGCCTCCAATCCTTCAGCGGTGACACCTTGAGCCATAGTTAAGTTCAAAGTTTCTAGAGTGGTACATTTACCTGAAAGTTAAGAAAATGGAAACCTCTTAGAAAATAAAAAAATAAATAAATACTTTCAAAATTATTTAAATAAATGGACAATTAGTAACGACTTTAAGTAGAAAATTCGTGGAACACAATCCATTAGATACAATATATTATCACCAAAATAAATAAAGTATACACATCACCTTCTTTGCTTGTACAAAAGAAATATACCACAAAGGACAAAATAACGACAGAATAAAGACTCTTGGAATTACTTAAGCTAGTTGTCTTTCTATTATTGTATAAGGGTGACAAGCAAGTACACAGACCACATGATAAGTGGTTGATGGTGGCCCGTAAACATCTACATCTATCCTCAATTAAGAACCAAAATGCAGATGCGATCAGTCCTTAGGGGTGACCTTAAAGACTGAGATGGATTGCCTTGTTTCGAGTAAAAAGAAGCTATTTCATATTCTGTGAGAGTGTGGTCCTATCTGGTCAAGCTGATACCATGTACACATACTTGATACTGTTTGAACTAGCAGGAGGAGTTTGAACGTTTATTTGTTTTCTACCTTCACTTGCAACATATTATGATTAATCTAGTACAATGCATTTCTTAAGGTCTTTAAGGTTACCTCCAGTATTTTCAAACTCCATATAAACAGTCTTTTACATGGTAGAGCTACGCTGCAGCTATGCTAATAATGCTGCATAATAAAAATATGCTGTATGGGAAGGGGTATCTCGACCATGTATTAGAGGTTTTCATTCAGGTCTTGAAATAATGCCTCGAATAACCTTTTACAATTATTTATTTCTAATACCCACTTATACTTAGTTCCTACAATTGTACACGCGTCTGCTCGCCTGGACCACTCGAGATAGAATGATCAGAAAGAGCCGAGTTTACTTACTAATAACTATAGAATGACCGACCGCTCGCATCAATTAACAATCCAAATCATATACATTGAATATAAAACTATAACATTAATTAAATAAATGCGTTAATAATTTTGGATCGAGAACACATGGAAGTGTAAGTTAGCAGAATAATACTGCTGTGTTTCGTATGGTGAGTGTAGAGAACTGGAGACCCATTTTACTGGAAAAGAGGCATTCCATCTTAGTCCTCACGGGTGACATCGCATCTGCATTTTGATTCGCAAACGAGGATAAATGTAGATGTCTATAGGCCACAGCAACCACTTACCATCAGGTACCTATATTATAAAAAAAAATTAATTGACTTGGACTACATTGATGATGTTCCCATTTTATTTATATTGAAGTTGGTTGTACAAAATTTTTAATTTTACTACTTGTTTCATCTTTGTGATGTCAAATTAATTATTCTTTTTTTTTTCGGTTTTAAATATCTCTCTGTCGCCTGATACAGCACCCACGGAAAGATATGCGGCAGTGGATATTCTTACACCGCCACTACACGGATTCCATCATCTGTTCGGGTCGGTTATGTTTAGCAGAACTGAGGATAACCCATGCTTATGATTAAGTCAACTCACCAATCAACTTGCATGTGCTGTCCTCCAGCTGTACACTCTCCAGGCTCAACTTTTTTAAGCCAGTGCACCTTTCCATTAGACAGCTGAGAGTTTCATGGTCAACGGTGCACATGCTAAGGTCCAGATACTGGAGCCGGGACTGTGTTACTGGTGTCGTTGGATGCCATTCTGCTATCTGTGGAAAGACATTATGTTTATAAGTAATTTGTGTCACTGGGTTTTGATATGGAACAGCTAGCTTGTAGTCCTTATTCGTCAACGTCTATACAGTACATATAACAGTACCTCACTGCTACATTACCACTTAGGTACTTTCAAGAAAAGAGCCTACTTTTCTAATCAATATAGATTATAAATAATACTTATTGAAAGTTACTTTTATGTTTAATTTACCACTGGTTTGGAAAATACCTCTGTCCTGGGCAGAACCAGCTGAACATTGCTGTGTTTCACTTATGATGAGTGTAGAGAACCGGAGATGCTTTTTACTTGAAACAAGGCATCTTATCGAGGGTAACAATACATCTGCATTTTGATTTGCAATTGAGGATAGATGTTGTTGAGGACAGTGCCTTGTACACCTTGTGATAGGGAAAACTGCCTACCCTGATGAGAATAAATTAAATTTGGACTGTACTGAACTGGTTTAATAAGTGCTAATAGAGTTAACCCAACAACTGTTTTTGATTTGAAAAAAAAATACAAGGACAAATTACAGTCATTTATTAATAAATATATTACACAATAATTAACAAAACAAGAGATAGCTTGGTAGCAAGCACCACATTTCAAGGGGTTATTTTTATCCATAAATTCCAAAATGCACCTGCAAATCCGCAATTTCTCTGGTGTTGCAGCAGTTCATGACAGGCAATAGTTACTTCAATCATCCATTATAAGCTCAAAAATTAGCTTCAAAGCATATTTACCGCAGTTAACACTGTGGTAACGATGCCTTGAACCTTCACTATGTGGTAGAGCCACACTGCAGCTATATTAATAGTATAGTTGTAGCACGAATGGGTCGGCTCGACCGGGGAAGGATCACGCTCTCACAGAATACCAGCGTGAAATAACAGCTTAATGCTGCAAACGAGGCATTCTCCCTTCTACTGGAAACGAGGCATTCCATCTTAGTCCTCACGGGTGACAACGCATCTGCATTTTTGAGGATGACTGTAGATGTTATGGGCCACACCATTCATTTACCATCAGATGTACTGTGTGCTCGTTTGTCACCCTTATTCTGTTAAATAGTTACTGTTCATACATACAAAATAACAAAATTATTTGAATTGTAAATTCGTGTTGAAATGTAATTTTTTTGAAGTTGATTAAAAATCAGGAGAAATGGGACCATGACAATTACCTCTGTACTTGCTAGTCTCACAATGACAGGCTTCTTAGCCAGGATCCTCCCCAGTGCATCCTTGGACAGCACTTTGTTGCCTAAATCCAGCCGCTGCCATAGTGTCTCATCACAGGCCACCCTGTACCATCTGAAATGTTTAATAGTTAAAGTTAAGAACCATCTCTATAAACAGAACTGGGAATAGGTAGAGCCATGCTGCAGCTTTATTAATTGTATAGTTGTAGCACGAATGGGTCGGAATGATTTGTTATCATTATATGTAGCTATTAGCTTTCTTGAAGCCACATTAGCCGGCGAAAACTTATTATAACACTAACCTCTTACAAACAAGCATACAGTGCGCGAGGGTGCGTTTCGGGAGCCATCTGAACACGCTGAGGATCATCTCGTCGGAGAGCACCGAGAATGTGTCGTTGCCAACTGGTTCAGACTTCGATCTTTGGCTGATTATTAGTTCTTCTTCCAGGCCTAACGCTGAAAATAAACTGTACATATTATCATTAGTCACTTGACCCGGCGTGAGGAAAACCACTGCCGCATGTTATCCCATGGATGTCTTAAGACGGGACCGATGGAATTGGACTGCCTGCCAAGCGTCGCAACTAAATCAAAATCACCCCTATGAGGCAATCTATGACCAAATACCTCCTACGGGTCTCATAGGGGGTATTTGGTCATAGTTGTAATGTTACTGTTTATTTAATAATTTCACCTCTCAATGGGTCATGTGCTCCTGGTAGATTATCTTCTATACATCCATCCATTACAGCCTATTAAAGTTCACTGCTTTTATACGTGGTAGAGCCATGCTGCAGCTATATTGTGGTTGTAGCACAAATGGGTCGGCTCGACCGGGGTAGGACCACGCTCTCACAGAAAACCAGCGTAGGGTGGCAGCTTGACGCTGCTGTGTTTCGTATGGTGAGTGTAGAGAACCGGAGACCCTTTTTACCGGCAAAGAGGCATTCCATCTTGGTCCTCACGGGTGACAACGCATCTGCATCTTGAGTCTTTATTGAGGATAGATGTAGATGTCTATGGGTCGCGGTGGCCACTTACCATCAGGTGGAATGTGTGCTCGTTTGTCACCCGATCCTATAAAAAAAAAAAAAAAAACTGCTGAACAAGTTCTACCTCATAGATTGCCTCATAGGGGAGATTTTGTCATAGTTGTAATGTTACTGTTGATTTAATAATTTCACCTTTCAGTGGGTCATGTGCTCCTGGTAAATTATCTTCTATACACCCATCCATTACAGGTTATTTAAGCCTCCCCCTATGTTTGCTATAGCTGCCACATTTGGTTAGCAGATTTGTAACCGCGGTTTTTTTTTTTACTTTTAGTCCTTATTAGGAAAAAAAACACTGTTGCCCATATCCTAATTCGCTTCCCTCTATCGCCTCTTAGAGTTTTGGCGGGAACTTGACCGGCGGCGGTTTGCTGCTCCTGTATTATTGTTTAAATAATGGTTTGAAGTGAACTTTGATATGTAAAAGTGGTGCGATTTTGTGTATTAAGTGTCTGCCCATGTGAACTATTAGTGGAAACTGTGAAACAATTGCTCTAATGGTGATGTGATTCTCAAGATAAGGTGTCTGTCTGCTTAGGCGCCTTGAGATACCATCGCCAACTGTCAGCTGTCTGCTGGCTCAAGTTGCCGTCAAAATCTCCCAAGTAAGGGTGTCCACTTAAAAAATATATCGATATTTATATTCGATGTTAAACTTAAACATCGGATCCCAGCATCTATGTTTATCGATATTTTTCACTATCGAATACTTTCCACAAAAGTTTAATATTACCTTTTTCCAGTAAAACGCGCAATTTGTAGTCCTTAATTTTGTATGTGTGAATGTAGAATCAGATACCAGAGAAGCAAGTAAGTCTTACATAAACTTGTTTTAGATAAACAATCAAAACAATTACTATTTAATTGCGTTACCACCAAACAGCAAAGGGGACGCAAGAAGAGTGAGAGTGAGTGAAGCAGTGTACTATGAAGGATAATTATACATTGTAACTTCAGGTTCAGAAGGGCTAGATCCCAGAGCCGTAAAGCCAGTTATAAAAAAAATACCACCTCTTACGACACCTACGGGATGATATGGGGTAGTAGTGGATATTCTTACACCGCCACTACACGAGAAATGTAAATATATAGATTTTAATATAATATATAACTTACGCGTGAAACTGTGTTTCTTCCCCCCGCTACAGCTGCTAGTACTGCCCGATGTGAAGCCGGAACCATGAGACGGTAGGTATTGGGCACTGACTTGAGCTGATGGCGTCTCCTCCTCTATCAGATAGTGGGAGAGTAGTGTCGTTTCTAAAGAGTCGACACATTGCAGAGGTTTTGCTAAAAGACAATTTTTATAAAATTATGATAGAGTAAGACAATCCATCAGAAAAAACTGAATAAATGTCGCCCAAAACAAAAATGAAAAGTCAAATTCAAAACTTTTTATTTAATTCAGACTAGCCCTTATTATACATGGGTCACTCAATAAGTTTTGAGATGTTCAAAATTTAAAAATGGAACGCACCCGTGTTATATGTTTCTTAAAAGCAAATTTATTTAAAAATAGAACTCCTTAAGTCAATTGCTCAATATTAAAAATTAATTTTCCTGCAACGCTTCCCGCGCTTTTCATTTAAAACGATGGATCTTAATCGTGAACATTTGCGCGCTATGATATAATATTATGATTTTAAATTTGGTTTAACCGAACAATTAAGTTTACAACCGTTACAATCAGCATTAGGGGACTCAGCGCAACAATTTGTAGGTGGTTTGCTGAATTCAAAAGGAGTAAAATTAATCTTAAAGATGACCAAAGAAACGGGGCACCGCCAACATCAGTAACGGCACAAAATGTATGGACTACCGACATGTTAGTGCGAGAAGACCCACGAATCATATACAGACATAGAAAAGATTGTAGGCATTAGTTCGGGGAGCATTCATACCACCCTACATCAACATCTTGGAGTGAGGAAGCTTTGTTGTCGATGGATCCCTCGTTTGCTCTCCGAAAGCGAAAAACAGACTCGTGTGGATTGGTGCCATGAAATGCGTCTACGTTTTGAAAACGGGGCATCTAGGCGTTTCAGAAATCGTTACTGGTGACGAGACATGGATCTATCAATGTGATCCGGAAAATAAAAGGCAATCATCGGTATGGGTCTACTCAGAAGGATAGTTACTGACAAAACTGCAAAAACATCGCAACGTCGGCAAAAAATGGTGGCTAGTTTTTTTAGGAGCGGACATTTGTCGACGTCAATGCCTGACGCGTTGTGCTGTGCGGGAGAGAAGACCAAATAACGGGCTTCCGGGAATCATGCTGCATCACGATAACGCCTCTGCACATACCTCCCTTAGAACAAAATCATTTATTGAGGAATCTGGTGTTGAAACTCTAAGTCACCTACCCTACAGCCAGGGGCGTCGCTACCGCCGTATCAGCCGTATCAGTGCTATGGGGCCCCCGAGCTGCAGGGGCCCCGAACGTCTATAAGCAAAAGCTCTAAAGACTTCTATGGAAGGACAGGCTATAAACTTGACACTATTGTCTATAGAGGCAGAAAATTTTGAAAAACTGAAATCGTCTTCAGCTATGAATGATTTAATAAATAAGTTCGCCGAACAAAAGGCAAGGAAAGTATATATTTATTTTGATTTGAATTGTTTGGCTAGCTTAGTTACTAGGAGTATTCAGTGTAAGTAATAACTTATATTCAATATGTAATTATTTTAATTCAATGCGAGCACATTTTTGTTCCTTTTGTGAAAAATCTTTACTCTTCATTTGGGCCCCCCAACACATTTTGATACGGGGTCCGTCTAAGGCACGCTACGCTACTACCTACAGCCCTGACTTAGCTCCTTGTGATTTCTTTTTCTTTCCAAGAGTCAAAGAAAAATAAAAGGCAACTTTTTTTTCAACCTGCGCCTCGTAAAGTTGCAGGCGGTGTGCTGGCATGAAATACTATCTCGCTCTGCTGAGCACGCCAAGCTTTTTAAAAGCCAATTTGGCCTTCTCTTCCAAGTGACCACGAAACTGCTCGTCACTCGATATGTCGACGCCGAGGATTCCAATACTGGCTGAGGCCACAAGGCCTTGAAACTGAGGAGATACGACAAAGGGGTTCTTTTTAGCGGTAAACGCGCAAACTTGTGTCTTCTGAGGATTAAACTGGACTAGATTTAGTCGCCCCCAATCTGAGACTTTGTTCAGCAAAGACTCGACTTCAGACACAAGTTTGTTCCGGTACTCGGCAACGTTTTCCCGAGAAATGCACGGCCGGTGCATAGAGCATCACCAGTGCTGTCATCCGCATAGCAATGAACGTTACTGGTCTGCAAATCATTGATATGCAGAAGAAACAGCATTGGTGATAGCGCGCAGCCTCGTGGAACACCAGCGTTATTAGGCTTGTAGTCTGAGCATGCACCGTCTACAACGACCTCGATGCTCCGATCATGCAAGAAAACTGGTGATCCAATTTCACAACTTCTCGGGAAGCCTATGAAGGAAGCTTCGAAAGAAGCGCTTTGTGCCAGACCCGATGGAAAGCCTTCACAATGTCCAAACTAACGGCCAATGCCCCCCCCCCCCTCCTTGGACTCTACTGCCTCCGCCCATCTATGAGGCAGGTAGATCAGAAGATCACCAGCTGATCGACCCCGACGATTTCGACCTCGCCTTTTCTAGGGATCGGGGGACAAAAGCAGTCTTAAATGATTTGGGGACTACGCCTAGGGAGTAGGAGTACCGGGAAAGACGCATTAGAACCGGTGTCAAATCCGGAGCACACGTCCTCACAATTGGGGGGTTTCCATCAAGCCCACTCGACTTGAATATCCAGGGAGAGGACTGCTTTGCGAACCGAGCATTGTGAGAACCGCACATACGACATGGAGCACTCACACCGCGGGATGGTCGGCGGTGTGTTCCCCCCGTCATCGAGAATCGAGTTGGACTCAAAGAAAGAGCCTAGCAGACCGGCTTTCTCCTTTGCGGCATGGGCCAGTGGCCTTGGCAAGAGACCAGAATGCACGGGTTCCCGAAGAAAGGCGAACTAGTTTCTCGTCAATTCTGCTTGTGCTCTGACTTTGCCTTGGCAATGACTCTTTTGAAGGACCTGGAGGAGGATTTATACTTAGATGTCCTCTCTGACGTATACACAAACACCAGCCCGAGGCACAAAGGAGTGTTCTAATTTGTATCCCGGGTATGAAGTATCAGCCGGAGAGGACACCTGCGTATCTCGGTCGAAAAGAGAAAGGCCACCCTCACCGTCTCGAGATGGTAGTGGACGGCGTTTGGGTTCGAGTGAAGTCCCCTGATGTTGCAGAAATTCACGGATAGCGTGGCAGAGGTCGCCTTGGTCTTGTTGCTCAGTTCGCCCCCCCCCCCCCCCCCACTCAAGAATACGCGGAGCAGCCTGAGCACACACGCTCAGGAGTGGAGTAGATTGATCGTGAATGCTCAGCGAGGAATTCTCCAGGGGTGCTGCCTAAAACCAAAATTTGACATGTTTTGACATCGTTGTTTATCTGGTTGTCATGGCAATTTTTGTTATGACAATAATAGAGAAACGGCAAGATTTAAGTGAAAAATGAGATATTATTGCTATAGGAAAAAAGGTAGCGCACCAGCGCGCACAAAGTCCGAAATTGCAGAGTTACGGAGAACTAAATAAAAGATCGAAAAAGGTAGATTCCATCGACACCAAATTAAAAAATGCTGATAGCGTGAAGATACGAAGTGAAAATTATTGTGTTCTTATGGTTTAAAAACGTTACAGGATCCTATGGAAATAAAGGTGATACAAAATATCCAGTTTTGAGGTGAATGCAGAAAATCAAAACAGAATGGAAAAATGAATTTAAAATAGTGTAAAATGATATGTAAGTAACATAACACTACAGTTGATGGGAGGAGGGGGAGGGGAGATTGGTCCATTCACCAGACGAAACGCAGAAGCAGAGCTTCCACTTCGCGCCGGTATTCTGAGTGTGGGGTTGTGGTACTAACCCGGCTCGAGCCGGCCCATACGTGCAACAGCAAAAGCTGCCACGTGGCTCTACCACCGTTAATTTCTGAGACATAATTGTAAAAGCCTACACATTGCCCCATGGAGGAATTACTGATTCATTGGGGATAAGTAACTAATAGCTTGTGCTTGTTCCTAGTATTTACAGAATGTACATCGCTATTTTTAGTGTGTAGTGGCGCTTACCTTTCTCAGAACTCCTTGGGCTCTTTGCCTTGGACGGTCCGGGACTTGCACTGTATATTTTGACCTTAGGACTCTTTGGGCTGTATCTGCTCCTGGGCGAAGTTATGGAACTGTTGATGTTTGGATTGACGTTCTCTATGTCGTGCTTCCGTTTCAGGTTTGGCTTGTGCTGTGAAGAGTCGTACATTGCAGAAAAGTGCATTCGATTATGAATTCAATTGAATATTATACGAAATATCATTTATCGCGCGTCAAAATCGTGTCTAAAATGCAATATTTTGCCCAACCTAACGGTACGTGTACACCAAAACCGATTTTGTCGGCCGATGTCGGACAGAACTACCCGGACGAGCAACTCGGACGTGTGGACGCTTATAACCTGTCGGAAATATCTGCGAACCTGGCTTGATGACGTCATGCAATATGGAGAGATGGCAACGGTACTGGATAGACGATAACGGGCGGAAATATCTGCGAACCTGGCTTGATGACGTCATGCAATATGGAGAGATGGCAACGGTACTGGATAGACGATAACGGGCGGAGGTGCGGGGAAGCGCGAGGGGAAGCGCATTCCAGCGAGGTTCGCAGATATTTCCGACAGGTTATACACTGCAACAGTGTACCACGTGTGCCGACATTGGACGTTCCGGTATTCTGTAGTTGACTGTGTTGCTTAACAGAGTGAAGACGCATTTTTTTTAAATATCTGGAACCGCTATATCCATTTCCGATCCAACTTCAGCTCATAACCGTTTCGAAACATCTCGATTATTGTGGTTTCTTGAATGTTTATCCCACAGGGTTGGTCTATTATAAAATATACAACTAATTAATTTTTCTATATCCATAGCCGTTTAGGTAGATAAAAACACGAAACAACAGAATAAATACAGAATTATTAAATTAAACTAGGTATAAATACATTCAACTTGCACTGTAGAAAAAAGTACTCTGTGCTGTAGACGCCGGCAGTCGGGCGAGAAATCCCAACAAGTTCGAACTCGACGGGTGATCGGCCGATTTCGGGCGTCATCGGACGATAACGGTCGTGTTTGTGTACGCGCTCTCTTTCTTTTACAAGTGTTTGATACGATCGTCCGAGTTCGGCAGTCGTAGCCCGAGCAAACTTCGGCCGATGACGGATTAGGTGTACGCGAGGCTTAAGGCCAGGATGCGTAATGTGTAAAATAATATTTAAGTCATTAATATTAAGTTCTTCAGCCTTGAGGTACGGTATACATTCTCTGTATGATAGACTACGAAATGAGAATATCTGTAATAGAACCAGAGCAATCTACATAGGCCCAACAGATCCGTAAGCTGAAGTAGCAATAGACAGGCTATATAACTTTAATAACTTCCAACCAATGGAGAAGAAAGGATTGACATCGTCTTACCATTAAGTGAAGTATGCCTGGTAAGAGATGAAGGAAGTCGATAGATGCAAGTGGCTCAGTACCATGCTTTGGGGCATCCTCGGCCTATGTTCAGCAGTGGCTGTATGAAAGCTCCCCCTACCGCTGTAGCCGAGGTGAAGTGTTGGTACCCCACCACCACCGCACCCTTGATGCGGTGGTGGAGGGGCTGGGGAGGGAGTGTCTGTATTGCGAGGTCCCGCTCTCCCTAACCTCCGCAGCCGAATCTTGGTTGGCGGCGGTACCATAGACCAGATCCATTGGTTGGCGGCGGTACCATAGACCGCTGGGGTCAGGAAGGCTAGTGTTTCTGAGTGCTCGTTTTTCCTGGTCTCACAGACCAGTGGGATGTAATGATGAATATTATATATATATATATATATATATATATATATATATATATATATATATATATATATATATCACTCTTACTACACTTTAAACCTATAAGGTTGTTTGTTAATTGTTCTTTACTAGTTAGCCCCAGGATTTACTCACTGAAGTGACAGATGCTGGCATGTCACAGTGCCCTTCGTTCTCGTCTTGCTCCAATAGACTGACCCCCATTTCCTGCAATACCTGAAAATAAAGAAAATGAATTATTATCGATATAGTTAATGATTAGTTAATCTATAAGAATTTTTTTTTAATGATTCGACGATTTGGTTGCACAGCAGCTAAATGTTTGACCGCGGCGCTGTTTTTTTTTTTTGCAGTTTATAAAAAGTCCACTGCTTTTTTATATATTGCCTCATACGGGGGAATGAGGGTGGAAAATTTCCATAGTTACCACAATGACTTTTACTGCCACCAGAGCGGCGCCAATAGAAAGAGAGGTATAATATTTGACAGGTTTCATAGTGGGGAAGTTAATTTGTTCGTAAAATGTAAAAGTTATTGTTTCTTTTTGTACTACTAGTATTAGCTATATTTTATATTAATAACATTCAAAATAAATGAACAAAACCACAGACATTCATAAAAGTAGAAAAATTAAACCAGCAAACCACTGATACATTGTTTTGTGTATTACGAGGGCTGCGCTAAAAGTATCGGGAATAGAATATTTCCACTGTTCCTGTCATATTAAAATCTTTTTAATTGAAAACCCTTTGGTTTTAAAAATCGAATACCATTTATTTATTTAACAAAAGATTCTCGGTCTTGTCACAAGATTTTATCAAACTTGTTTAGTCGTTGAGAAAATGGAATTGACTCGAGAAAATTCAAGAGCGATGATTTATTATGACTTTCGAAGTGATTTAAAAAAAAACAGTGTGTTGACCGGATGATTTCTGCATTTGGTGATGAAGCCCCATCCAAAACCACAATTTATCGCTGGTTTGCTGAATTTCAACGTGGACGTGTCAAGCTCAGTGATGATCCCCGTCAAGGTCGTCCAAAAACTGCAGTCACCCAAGAAAACGTTGATGCTATGCGTAAGCTGATTGAGGAAGATCGACATGTGACATACCGCGAAATTCAGGCAACTTTAGACATTGGCATGAGTCAAATACAAATAATCTTGCATCAACAATTAGGTGTAAAAAAGTTGTTTTCCCGATGAATTCCGCATTCGCTCTGTGAAGAGCAAAAAGCGGCTCGCGTTACTTGGTGCGTCAGAACTCTCGAAAGATTCCACGCAGGATCCTCAAATGCTGTATACAACATCGTATCAGGTGACGAATCCTGGATATATGCCTACGAACCCGAAAAAAAAAACTAGTCACGAGTTTGGGTGTTCGAAAATGAGTTAAAGCCAACAAAAATTGTTCGTTCACGGAGTGTTGCAAAAAAAATGGTGGCCACTTTTGTCTCCAAAACCGGCCATGTTACGACTATTCCTCTTGAGGGACAAAGAACGGTTAATGCAGAATGGTATGCTAGCATTTGTTTGCCACAGGTCGTTTCTGAACTCCGTAAAGAGAACTGCAACCGCCGCATCATCCTCCATCACGACAATGCGAGTTCTCACACCGCACACAGAACAAAAGAGTTTTTAGAGCAAGAAAACAAAGAATTATTAGACCATCCGCCGTACAGCCCCGACCTAAGCCCTAATGATTTCTATACTTTCCCTAAAATAAAGAATAAATTGATTGGACAGAGATTTTCATCACCTGAAGAAGCTGTGGACGCCTACAAAACAGCCATTTTGGAGACCCCAACTTCCGAATGGAATGGTTGCTTCAATGATTGGTTCCATCGTATGGAAAAATGTGTCGAATTTCGCAGAGAATACTTCGAAAAGCAATAAATACATTTTTAAATAGTAATGTTGTGTCACTTCCTTGATTCCCGAAATTTTCAGTGCCGCCCTCGTAATATAATACTGCGGAAACTGATAAACTTTTATTTAAAAAAACAACTTCTCAATTAAATTACATTGTGAAAAAAAAAACTTTACCTCAGTGTTAACTAGCGACATCTGGTGAGTGGAAAAATATTAGCCCTCATTGGCAGGCGGTATAGCGACCACAGTATTTGATTATTTCAAACTGTTATCAGGAAAATACTACTTTTACATCAAGATAGTTTTTTCTTTTTATAGGATAAGGGTGACAAACGAGCACACAGTCCACCTGATGGTAAGTTGTTGCTGCGGCCCATAGACATCTACATCTATCTTCGTTTGCGAATCAAAATGCAGATACGCTGTCACCCGTGAGGACTAAGATGGAATGCCTCATTTCCAGTAAAAAGGGCCTCCGGCCACCTGCACTCACCAAGCGAAACGCAGAGGTATACCTCTACTTCACGCTGGTATTCTGTGAGGTCGTGGTACCACCCCGGTTCGAGCCGGCCCATCCGTGCGACAGCAAAAGCTGCCGCGTGGCTCTACCACTGTCAGCCTTGAAAGCCTTTTACATCACCCATGGGACAATATAGGGTAGTGGATTATCTTATACTACAACTACACAGATACGATTATTTGTTCAGGGTCTGAATGTTTGTCCATGTGCAAATTGGATGTGGTAGAGCCATGCTGCAGCTATATCAGTAGTATAGTTGTAGCAAGAATGGGTCGACTCGACCGGGGAAGGACCACGCTCTCACAGAATATCAGCGTAAAATAACAGCTTAACATTGCTGTGTTTCGTATGGGGAGTGTAGAGGACCGGAGACCCTTTTTACTGGAAAACAGGCATTCCATCTTAATCCTCACGGGTGACAACGCATCTGCATTTTGATTCTTTATTGAGGATAGATGTAGATGTCTATGGGTCACAGCAATTACTAACCATCAGGTCGACTGTGTGCTTGTTTGTCACCCTATCCTATAAAAAAAAATATGTAGGTATGCCTTCACAATATGAGAGAATATCCTAGCATGGTGATAGGCTAGGAGAATATCCTAGCTAAGATATTTTCCACCATTTATTAAAAACGCATACTACACATTAGGGTCTTTTTATTATTATTCCATTTTTAATTCTAAAATTCAATCAATGCATATTATAAGGCTACATGCAAACCAGCTAAAGGTAACTTGCACATCACACAACTGTTGTTTACAACATTTAGTAATAATAATTAAAAAAATAAATTACCACGGGATTTTCTGAAGTTGATGCTGAGACTAAGTTAACTAAGCATGTTCTTACTTAACTGTCTTAGTATTAGTTTTGAAATTGTTGGTAATGTCCTAAGACACTAGAATGTTGTGTAAATAGTTACATTAAAATCTGCATCCCCAATGTTTCCCCCTCTTCTCCTCTTTTTCCTACAATTCTATGAGATAGCTACCATGAAGTATAGACTATTAATGAATAAATAAGTATATAAATCGATTCAGCCCCTTCTTAAAAAAATAAAGATAAAAGTATATGTATTGAATATAGAACCTTCTTGTTTTTTGCATTTGGTTAAAAAACTATCCCAAATTGGTGTTCAGTTTTGATTATTATAGTTGCCTATCATTTATTATTTATTTTATTGATAAAATTCTAAGCCCTTTATTCCCTCTCTCAGCTCAATCTTCAATCTGATGAGATTAATGAGAAATTTATTTATTTATTACATAATTATAACATCATTACAGTTACATTAACCAATGCAATTCTATAACTAACCTATATGAAAGAAAACTACTAACAAATAATAATAACTATTAACATAAATATAAAATAAAATACAAATTAAAAAAAAAACTACAACTTTCATCAAGAAAAAAATGGTAAATTAAATAATTAAACTTAAAAAATGATATTAATTGTGCATAAAAATGGAATAAATGCAGGATACTGAGTAAATGGGGCTCTTCACTCTATCATGGGAAGTCAGAGTGTGTCGAAAAAGGCATATAATATGGCAATTCAAAATGCAGTGATTTTTTTAAGAATAACAAATGAGCACACAGTCTACCTGATTGTAAGTGGATGCTGTGGCCCATAGACATTTATCTTCAACTAAGAATCAAGATGCAGATTCTTTGTCACCACTGAGGACTAATGATGTAATGACTAATAATGCCTCGTTTCCAGTAAAATGGGTCTCCAGTTCTCTACACTCACCATACAAAACAGCAGCATTAAGCTGCTATTATATGTTGGTAATCTGTGAGTGTGGTCCTACGGTCAAGCCAACCCATTTGTGGTACTTCATAGCTGCAGCGTGGCTCCATCACATAGTCTCTACCTGAATGTATGGCAGTAAAAGTTAGGTGTGGCAGAAAAAGCATGAGATTAGAATAAATGCTGCAGAAATGCAGTCATTAAGGAACATTTTTGGGGTGACTGAATGATGGTGAGAAATTGTGTGTTATTAGAAAAGCGTGGTTTGCAAGATGTGTGAGTTGGATTAAGAAATGAAAAGTTGACGGCTCCGTGGCGCAGTGGCTAAGCAATCAGTTGTTGCGCTGGGGGCCGCGGGTTCGAATCCCGCACGGAACAAGTATTTGTATGGCCTACAAATAATTGTTCCGGGTCTGGATGTTCGTCCTTGTGCAATTTATGTTTGTAAACTGCCTCCACGACTCATGAGAAAATTCTAGTGTGGAGGTATCGTTTTTTTTTTTAAAATAGAAAAAAAAAGGAATTAAAGAGCAACAGAGCTAATTTACTCCACAAGTTTCACAATTAGGTGAATCAGTTCTTTTCATCAGATAAGAAAACTTACATCATTTTTAATGGAATGTGAGCAGAACCAAAGGACAAAGGAATTATTTATAAGGACATATAATACAATATGGGTATTGCACAAGGCATTCTACATACTCCCACCTCGGATATTGCAATGAGTATGTGCAGTGCTAAATGGAAGTCCTTAGTTGTTATCCTTACTTTTCAAACATAACTACATTTCATCAGAAATGGCAGAATATAAATTAAGGAATTGATTGAAATTGCTAATTTTATACTTGCAAATTAGTGATTGATATCATCATGATACAGAATAAAGGTTTCAATTCTCACATTCATTCTTTTTTTTATAAAATAAGAGTGACAAATAGCCACACCACCTAAAGGAACTGGATACTGTGTCCCATAAACACAGTTTTGTTAAATACGGAATTTTGTATTTTTTGTTTAAATAAATGTTAAGCCCACACTAAAATTCCCTTTCATATTGTGAAGGTAGAGAGCATACATAAATTACACAAGGACAGATTCCTGGAACAATTTTATTAATCCATGCGGGATTCAAGCCCGCAGGCTCAAGCCATGCAACTTTATGCTAAACAACATTAACGTGGTAGAGCCATGCTGCAGCTATATTATGGTTGTAGCACGAATGGGTCGACTCGACTGGGGAAGGACCACGCTCTCACAGAAAACCAGCGTAAAATAGCAGCTTAACGCTGCTGTGTTTCGTATGGTGAGTGTAGAGAACCGGAGACCCTTTTTACTGGCAAAGAGGCATTCCATCTTAGTCCTCACGGGTGACAACGCATCTGCATCTTGAGTCTTTATTGAGGATAGATGTAGATGTCTATGGGTCACAGTAACCACTTACCATCAGGTGGACTGTGTGCTCGTTTGTCACCGATCCTATAAAAAAGCTTCTGCTTCAGGGAGTTGTTTAAATCAAATTGTAGATGTTTATTTAACTCGATAGAATGCCTTTTCATCACTATTATCTAATTACAACACAAGGCAACAGCACAGATGCAGCCTCTCTATTCACCCTCCAAAAGAAATTCATCTGGATTATAGCAAATACAGATCAGACGAATAGATGCAGACCATTAACCTTACCCAGCTGATATATATTGAAGGTTTGTAAATTTGTTCGAAAAAATAAGCAATTTTATACAAAACATTAAGATTTACCATACACATTACTACATGAAAATGAATTATTACTGCCAACTTTCCAATTAAAGCTAAACACTTCTAGTACAATCAGTTCTTCCTAAAAATTCTATAATAAACTACTTGTCATATTAAAAAATTTAAATAGTGACATTATATTTACAAAAAAATCAAAACAGTATATAACTAATAAATGTTACTATAGTACTAATGAACATTTTATAAATAATATTTATATAAGTTATACAAAAAGAACACTTGTTTAAATTGAATTCTATTTCAATAAAACACAATCAGATTCTTAAACTAGTTGAATACGCTTCCTCTCTCCTAGCCCCCAAATTGCGTGCCCAACAGGGTCCATAACACTGGTCTCACATTATTTTATAAAATCTTGTGTACATTATGGTTTAGCAATAGATGTTTGAATTTGAGTTTACCTTGTTACCAGTAATAAATATAATTTTATTATAAAGGCCACTTATCCAGCACTGAATTAAGAGTATCTATTATAGTAAAAGCTTACCTCACAGAGCTGGAACACCCCCACTAGATCGCGTAATGAAAAAGCCAGATAGTCGAAGGACGCAAAACTCAGGTCAGGGCCACTTTTTAAGACAATCTATGAAGGAGGCTTAAGTTAAGCAGTAAATGTGATGGGTTGAATTGATAGTGATATAGAGAAATAAGTAATCTTATTTGTTTCAAATACTTACTTGTACTTGTCTAACGACGTAATAATGAAATACGAGAAGTCTGACCAAAGTTGAGTTTTCAAGTTTACTCCATAGAAAGCTTTGAAATTAACGATTATTAAAAGATTTGCAGACTGGTTTTTCAAGAAACATTACACCGTTTGCGAGAATAGACATGAGACATGGAGAAATTACTAAAAAAAAGACGATAAAGACAAGCGGGAATAAAATGGAATATCTCACCTCTTGATCTGTTCTTCTATCCATTAAACTCCAGCTTTTACGTGTAGAGTTCTCCGCACACAATTTTTTCCTGGAAAGTGGGCTTAAATTACCGTTATGTTCAATGAAAATTAAGATACAGACTTACAGAAACAGAATAGAAAATGACACGTTCTGTTCATTTGGCGCCTTTTGACTTTGGCGCTCAAAATCAGCTGTCAGAACAGGTGAGGAATTCACAATATAAAGAAGTGGTTGAAATCTACTCACCTAGGGCTGATTATTTCATCAATGGGTGAAGGTGATGGATATTCATCATCTAAACAATTTTTATTCATCACGAATTAATAACAATATTATTTTAAATACTGCAGCGGTCAATGAACGAACGTCATCACTGATTTCGCATTCGCAAAGAAAAATAGCACAAAAGTATAGACTATAGACTTATTAGTCTGGTATAGACTATAGACAATGTGTCAAGCCCATAGACACAGACTGTCAAATCCAGTCAAATCTGAAGTCAAGATGTTTGCTGCCGGTGCTGCCAGCCGTATTTAGTAGATAATACTTTAATAATATTTATACCCCTTTATATAAAATTGATATGTCTGCATGTAATAAATATCGACATAACTGCATTTTATAAAGCTCAGGGGGTTATTTGCATACCATTGAGACATGAACAACTGTTTTTTAAATTTTTGTTTGTCTGGCATGACTTCGGAATGACTAAACTTGATGGACAGATAGCAGAGCCAGGTGTGATGTAGGCTATATTTTAAACTAAATATAAATTCTACCCATGTGAAACTGGAAAGGAACCGATAGTAATAAATACCTAAAGTTTATCATTATCATTAAAGCCTTTCCAAGGCAACTGCTGAACTAAGGCCTCTAGCAAAAAATGTCACAAAACAAAGAACTGCGCCATCTGCATCCATTAACTTCCTATATGTCTTACGCAAACACACACAATCTAATGAGAGGCTGTCCTACAAGAGTATTTTTTTTTTATTTATTTATTTAATAAGGCTTACCAACTAAATACATATAGAAACAATTATTATGAGGTGCACTAAAAAAAAATTTGTATATATGCATTTAAATTTCTTTAAGCTAAAGTTAATTACTCCGGGTTTGGCTGTTTTATTTCGTGCAATATATATATATATATATATATATATATATATATATATATATATATATATATATATGGTACGTAAAAGTAAAGTTACCACCTTAAGTGTCCTAGAGCTGGGCATAGGCATTCATACATTTCTGAGAGACTTTTGAAGTAGCTAATCCATTAAGCTACCCTACTGCGTATTGCTGGACTTCACATGTCATCGAAATATTTTATATCTCAGAGATGCGAGTTTCCTCACGATGTTTTTCTTCACCACCATCATATAGTAAATCAGTACTAAAAATTGAAACTAATAATTTCATTGGAGATTGAACGCGTACTATGAAATTTACGGCAAGCGCTTTTAGCCCCTGAGCTATAACGACTTTGATTATCTTCATAACAATATGAGGGCAAAACACTTATATGCCCGAAAATTCACATTTGGTACATTCCTTTCACAGATAAGTTTGTTGAACATATCTAATTTGGTCATTCTGGGTCTTTTCTTTCCGGGGTACTTATAGGCTCCTTTATTGAACGCGCTCATTATCCGTCAGATTAAATGTTTTACACTAAAGTTTTAATGTTATATTTTTTTTAATAAAATCAAATGTGTTATTGTAAAAACTGCAAGGAAGAAATTAGTTAATTAAGTAATGTTATAAAGATCAAATAATAACTACTAAAAAGAAAAATTGCATATACATACATAATTAACTGGTTAAAGAAAATATGTAATTAGAAATAGAAACAGAAACAGAAACTTTTTTATTCAATATAGATTATAAATAATACTTAAAGTCACTCCTTTGTTTAATTACCACTGGTTCGAAAAAAACCTCTGTTCCAGGAAGAAGCAGCAATTATGGAGTGTAGAGTAGAAGGAGAACCATCTTATAAGGAGCGAAGGTTGAAAAAGTGTCCTACTATTTACTGTAAATAGAGGTTCCAAAACCTACCACAATAGCGCTGGCGTCTGAAAAACTACGATATGAAGATAGCTGTTATGAACGGAGTGAAGTCAGCTGAATTCAAATATTTCATGACTAGAGTAGTTAGTAAAACGCCAATATACAAAATCTCAACTATTTACGTAGTACAAAATCAAGCGGATTGATCGGTCCTTATTTATTTCTCCATCTTATTCTAAATACTTTTGGCGCTTCTTTTTTAATTTATCCTATGCTACTGCAGCGCCACCCTTATTGGACACGTTTTTAGGGACACTTTTCATATACAGAGATGGTCCTCCTTCTACTCTACACTCCATAGCAGCAATAAACCCAGCGGCATTTTTTTTTTAAATAACACCTTACAATCATGTATATTACACAATTAACAACACAACATTAAATAAAAAATGAAAAGTACTTTTTCAATATTAATTATTCTATTACTAAATAATACCGTACAGTCCCCGTTACGTTAAAATCGTCAATATGATTTTCTGCTTTTCTTATATGTTACCGTTTTTTTTTTTAGCTTTACGGCTAGCACACAACGTAGTGATTTAAACTCTTTAGCCCAGTCACTTCAGCCAAAGAGTATAGTTATTAGATTTTAGCTTACTGATCGACTCAAGTAATACCTATGTAGTGCAGTAAAATTAATATATCAGCTAATTCGTTCCTTTAAATTATTTTATACCTACCTTATAATTGACGTAACAAAAATCAATAAAACTGATTTTGTTAAGATTTTTAACTTTTAAACTATATGTTTTTTTTTTAAATAATTTATATCAAATAATTCAACTGTGTTCTTCATTCAAGGTGTATTTTTCTTAGTGAGCTCTATGTTAGTAAATAATTAAAAAAAATTGAATATTAGTACATATAGGAATATATCACCTCTTGATATTTTCTAAAAACATATGTGCGTACATTTGCTTATCATCATTTTTAGATCAAAAACACAACTTTGAAGTAATAGCGTAGCGTAGTTGCAAGTTTTGAACAATTCCTGTCCACCATAACCATATTGCATGCCTTAAGCGCCAAGCGTGTAGGTCAGATGTTCTACTAGCGCCTAAAAATCACGACTCCAACATTTTGTCGCATAAAATCGTATCTTACAATCGTATTGAACAAATAAATGATATTAAAAGCATATTATTAGAAAGTTAAATAATTGTTTAACTTATTAATATGTTTTTTTAAATCGATTCATTGCTTTTTTACATAAAAAAGTGGTTTTACTGGCTTATGGTGTAGATTTATCAAGGCCTCATGAAGTGGTAAACACGATAACTTTTGAAAACATCAATTGTTTAACTCAATCTATTTTTAATCTCTTCATCCATCATGTGGGAAGCCATGGAATGTAAACGGTAGTTTAATTTTTTTGTTAAGTTATAATTAATTTTTTCGACGTAGAAATCCGGAAATTTTCGGTGTGTTAGTAGCCTTGTAATAATTTATTTTACTAAATAGACTGCCTCTCTCATTCGCTTCGGCGTCAACCGCCGTCATGAGTGGATACTGTATCGGTTATTTGCAGTGGCTCAAAAATATCGCTGTACAAATACAAAATATTCGAAAAATCAAATTTCATACACACTTGATTATTATAATAATTAGAGATTATTATAACAATCAGGTATATATTATATAAGTGATATTTATACTTTAATACGTCTTGGACTTTATGGAGTGACCTAAATGATGATATGATGATCATATGAGCATTATGAGTCGTGCACTTTTGGATTTTCCAAACTTGTTTTTTAAATTTAAGTTTGACATAAAATTATTGGAAAATTGGAAGTATAATATTAAGGGTATCAGTGAAACCTTGTGTGTATTTAAATTAGTTTAAAAAATTTACGTATAGTCATGTTATACGTAATTTTTTAAAGCTCTTAGAGCATGCACAATTGGATTTACCAATAGTTTTTATTTTATTCTGACGCCATAATTTTATCTGTTTTGTTAAAATATAATAAAAAAATTAATTAAATAAAATGATTGAGATATGTAATATATGTTAATATTCATCGGATAGTTAATAATTGATGTGTGGACCTCAAAACATACTTATTACCTAAGTTAACACCAACGGAATTTTTGTATACTGTATGAAATTAAAATAATAATGACTTAATGTGGCTGCTTAAATTAAAACCATAGAATATAGCTTTGTACATTTACGTTACGTTTTAATTAAAACTTTTATAAAGTTTTCATTCAAGACATATTTTTATTATGATTTATAATATCGCTTCAGTAGGCACAAATAGCTAAATTATATTATATTTTAGAAAATTTTATATAGCAACATTATTTTTGTTTACAAAGTTTAGTGACCAATCAAACGATAGCAAACTCAGCTGCTATTGGTCAAAAGTAATCGAGTAATATCAAAAAGAGAAAAGCGCCTCTGTCAAGCGCAAATCAAAATCCAAACAGAAAACCAGAAAACAAAGGTGGTTGTAGTGGGTGTTAGTCGCTTGTTGTATTTCAATACAAACGTGAGTTCCAATTGAACAAAAATATCTTACATTGAAAGAATATAATCAAAAACTGTACGCTTTATTGTGTTGTGCTAGTTTTTATTGCGGAAATGGCTGCTCGAAAGCTAAACACCATTGAAGACCTAAGCGGTAAGATTATTAGTAAATAAACAATGAACGTACATAACGAAACTAGATCTACAGGTTTTGGATCAAGGATATTGTTGTTGTGCTTTAGTTTCACAACCAACGACCACACACTGTAACTTTGTTTATGTAGACTTATTTACGCTTTATTCATATTCTTAACAGCTGTCTTTGTTTACGTCCTTGAGAAGTACTATCTATATAGCCATCTTATTACGTCGCGATAATGTAAAATGCAATTGCTAAACAAGTAATATTTTGATGATTCAGTGATATTCGGATATTGATCATCGTGAATATTTATCGAATAAGTTACATAAAACTTGCTTAATGTTCATTTAAATTATTACGTTTGGGTACCTATAGCGTTTTTGGTTGAATTTCATATTGATGCTTGTAAATAAAACTTGTTTTCTAGGAATGACGCAGCTTAATTAAGCAGTTTCTAATGAATATAGGTTGTTAGAAAGTAATTGTTAGATACGTAGGCACTTTATAACTTGGTCGGATTATTGCAATGTAAATAAGCGACGTTCGCGTACGTTCTGCGCTCCTAGTACTTTTACATATCGATTGGCGAAGGTTGTGTTTTGTAAACAAAGCTTTGTTGGCTTTGTCGAGTTAAGTTTATTTTTCATTTTCGATAAGATCGTGTTAACTTACTTGTCTTAAATAGCATAGAGATATTTTATTTTTTTCAAGAGAGAACGGTGAGCTGAAAGTAGGGAAATTTGGAATAGGGCAACGGAACCCAAGGGGCCAGCAGCTGGCCGACTTCATGGAGAAAGAGGGACTCTTTATGATGAACTCTTTCTTCCAGAAGCGGCCCCACAGGAAGTGGACCTGGTCGAGCCCCGACGGTTCCACAAAAAATGAGATTGACTTCATTATGACGACCAGACGACAACTGTTCAGTGATGTCTCCGTGATCGCGAGGGTGAAAACTGGTAGCGATCACCGAATGGTTAGAGGCACACTGAACCTAAACGTTAAGTTGGAGAGGTCTCGTCTAATGAAGTCAACGCTCCGTCCCCCTCGTGCTCTGTTCCAAAGTCCCGAAACCTTTCAGCTCGAGTTACAAAACCGTTTTCAGTGCCTGGAAGACTGCAATGAAGTGGACGATATGAATGACAAGCTCGTGGAAACTGTCCATGCGGTCGGAGCTAAGTTCTGCAAGACCCGCCGCAGAAGAACACAAAAACTCTCCGATCACACTCTTAATCTCATGGCTGTTAGACGGGAGATGAAGCTACATTCTTCAACAGACTTGACAGCGTACAGGCATCTGAACAGACAGATCTCCAAATGCATGCGGCGGGACTTACGCAACTTCAATACAGCTCGTATTGAAGAAGCGATCGAGCGGAACCAAGGCTCCAAAGTCTTTGCCAGAGATCTGTCTGCCAGAAAGAGCCAACTGTCAAAGCTGAAGACAGAATGTGGCAGCATCGTTTCCGGGACACCTGAGATTTTGAGTGAGATTGAGAGGTTCTATGGGCAGCTGTACACATCATCGTTGGAGCCACACGCAAGTGTGAGTAACGATCCAAGAGCGAGTCTCATCCGACACTATTCCGAAGATATCCCGGATGTCAGTCTGAGCGAGATTAAAATGGCTCTCCAGCACCTTAAAAACGGTAAGGCCCCAGGCGAGGATGGAATTACAGCGGAGCTTCTGAAAGCGGGTGGAAGACCGGTACTTGAAGTCCTTCAGAAGCTCTTTAATTCTGTCCTCCATGGTGGCATTACACCGGAGGCGTGGAGCAGAAGTGCGGTGGTCTTGTTCTTCAAGAAAGGTGACAACGCTCTCTTGAAGAACTACAGACCGATTTCCCTTCTGAGCCGCGTCTACGTGCTGTTTTCGAGAGTCATTACGAATCGTCTCGCGCGCAGACTTGACGACTTCCAGCCTCCCGAACAAGCCGGTTTCCGAAAGGGCTTTAGCACCATAGACCACATACATACCCTTCGGCAAATTGTACAGAAGTCCGAAGAGTACAATTTGCCACTATGTCTGGCGTATGTGGACTATGAGAAAGCCTTTGATTCCGTCGAAATTTGGGCGGTGCTGCAGTCCCTTCAGCGGTGCCAAGTTGACTGTCGGTATATCGAAGTGTTGAAGTGCTTGTACAGTAGGGCTACGATGGCTATCCGAGTACAGAACCAGAATACGAAACCTATCCAATTGCAGAGAGGTGTAAGACAGGGTGACGTCATATCCCCGAAACTCTTCACCGCTGCATTGGAAGACGTTTTCAAGCTTCTGGACTGGAAAGGATACGGTATCAACATCAATGGCGAGTACATCACTCACCTTCGATTTGCCGACGACATAGTCCTTATGGCAGAATCGCTGGAGGACCTAAGCACTATGCTCAATGACCTCAATAGTGTTTCCCAACGGATAGGTCTTAAGATGAACATGGACAAAACAAAGATCATGTTTAATGTCCATGTCACACCTATGCCGGTAGTTGTTGGGAGCACTAAGCTCGAAGTTGTTGACGAGTATGTTTACCTGGGACAAATAGTCCGACTAGGTAAGTCCAACTTCGACCGAGAGGTCAATCGACGGATTCAACTCGGCTGGGCAGCGTTCGGGAAGCTACGATACATCTTCTCGTCAGACATACCTCAAAACCTTAAAACGAAATTGTACAACCAGTGCGTGTTACCAGTGATGACTTACGGAACTGAGACGTGGTCCTTCACTGCTGGCCGTATGAGGAAGCTCAAGGTCGCTCAGCGAGCTATGGAGAGGGCTATGCTCGGAGTTTCTCTGCGTGATAAACTTAGGAATGAGGATATCCGCAGTAGAACCAGAGTGACCGACATAGCCCAACGGATTAGTAAGCTGAAGTGGCAGTGGGCCGGCCATATAGCTCGAAGAACCGACAACCGATGGGGAAGAAAGGTTCTCGAGTGGCAGCCTCGTACCGGTAGGCGAAGTGTAGGGCGTCCCCCCACGAGATGGAGTGACGACCTGGTAAGACATGCAGGAAGTCGATGGATGCAGGTGGCTCAGGACCGTGCTTTGTGGCATTCTTTGGGGGAGGCCTATGTTCAGCAGTGGACTTGTGAAGGGCTGTAATGATGATGATGATGATGATTTTATTTTTAAAAATTATGCATAGAGACATTTTTTTAAATTGAATATGAGTAACAAACAAGCACACAGTTCACCTGATGGGTAAGTTGAGCTGTGTGTGGCCCACCCATATAGACCAATCCGTCTTCGATTAAGAATCAAAATGCAGATGGTTGCTTATCACCCTTGAGGAATGGGATGGAATGCATCATTTCCATTAAAAAGGGTCTCCGGTTCTTTACACTCAACGAAAAACACAGAAACAAGCTGCTATTTAATGCTGGTATATTCTGTGAGAGCGTGGTCCTTCCCTGATCGAGCGGACACATTCGTGCTACAACCATAATATAGCTGCAGCATAGCTGTACAACGTATAAAGTTATTAGTTATTTGTTTACTTTATATAAACTTAAATATCACACCTTGGCTGGATATTGGCATAAAACGTTAGGGAGGGTTTCTGGTTTAATAGCCACGCTTGGCAAATGCAGTATCAGTCGTCTCACACCTTTGACGTTGCTCCCCGCCGCCGGTCGGTGTATTTTACGTCTGGTGTAATTTTTTTTTTATAGAAAGACTGACAAACGAGCACGCAGTCCACCTGATGGTAAGTGGCTCATAGACAACTACACTTATCCTTAATTAAGAATCAAAAGCAGATGCAGAAAAACTTTAACACAATAAAATTCGAAAATTAGTTCTATTTAATCATCGCCTTCACCTTTTTTTCGTCGAAGACGTTTACGTGGTAGAGCCATGCTGCAGCTATATTAGTGGTATAGTTGTAGCACGAATGGGTCTTCTCGACCCGGGAAGGACCACGCTCTCACAGAATACCAGCGTAAAATAGCAGTTTACCACTGCTGTGTTTCGTATGGTGAGTATAGAGAACCGGAGATTGGAATTGAAGCATACCATCTTAGTCCTCAGGGGTGACAACGCATCTGCATTTTGATTCTTAATCGAGGGTAGATGTAGATGTCACAGTATCCACTTACCATCAGGTTGACTGTTTTTTTATATGATAAGTGTGACAAACGAGCACATAGTCCACCTGATGGTAAGTGGTTGCTGTGGCCCATAGACATCTACATCTATCCTCGATTACAAATCTAAGCTGGAATGCATAGTTTCCATTAAAAAGGATCTCCGGTTTTCTACACGCACCATACGAAACATCAGCAGTAAGCTACTATTTTACGCTGGTATTCTGTGAGAGCGTTGTCCTACCCCGGTCGAACCGACCCATTCGTGCTACAAACATAGCTGTAGCGTGGGTCTACCGTGTCCTACGCATAAAAGGCGTTTTACCACCTAGTGAAAAGTCAACTCGGTTAAGTCTGATAGCAGAGTTCGCTAAGAACAAGCCGACAGACTGAAAATAGGTCCCTCAATTCAGACTTAAATTGGATGATAAGTTCTAAATATAACTCGGGTCTTCGCACTACAATTTATCAATTGAGTCAAATTGAAATGGACAATTTGGGACCGTGTGGGGTCTTTTAGTTCGCCGCGTTACTAGGGTTTAGACTGGGACAGTTAAATATTTTACGACATCCCTTAAAAGTGATTTTTTTTACGATGAAATTGGCCTTTTTTTAGAATAAGGGTGACAAACGACCACACATTCCACCTGATGGTAAGTGGTTGCTGTGGCCCATAGACATCTACATCTATCCTCGATTAAGAATCAAAATGCAGATGCGTTGTCACCCGTGAGGACTAAGATGGAATGCCTGTTATCCAGTAAAAAGGGTCTCCGGTTCTCTACAGCACCGTTGAGCTGGTATTTTAAGCTGGTATTCTGTGAGGGCGTGGTCCTACACAGGTTGAGCCGACCCACTCGTGCTACAACTATACCACTAATATAGCTGCAGCATAGCTCTACCACGTAAACGCCTTCGATAACAAAAAA